GTATTTCGTCTTATTTTGGCTAAACGGGTGAAACACTGATCTCGGGCTTGAGAAGGAAAGGCATCATATTGCGGGCTTTGATGTGGGCGGTGACAAGTCTCTGGCCTCAAAAAGTAGTTTGTAGGAGTTAAATCTATTCGGCGAGAGCAAAATTGATGCTGGTTTGTGACCAGGCCAGAGACTTAGTTAAAAATTGTTTCGAGGGCCGGCCTCTATGATGAGTCCCTTTCAAAACGGCTCATCTACATCCGGGATCTTGAATAAATCGACTGCCTCAGGAAACATTGGACGTGATGATGATTTATGTGGAGAAAGCGAGAGTTATTGAGCGAGAGTAATTTGATGATATTTCGCCAGTGTGGAAATATTGTGCCTGGTTGGTTGTGTATAGTTTTATCAGTACCACGAACGCGGTTAATTGTGTGATTTCCTGATGTTGTTGACAGAAAGAATTCAGGTAATATGTCGCGGAGCTCGTGTTATAACGCTATTGTGGTCAAGCAGAAAAACGCTTAGTGAGTGTTTAGTTAAAGTGATTTTGTCCTAGACAACCGATTCTGGCCTCAAGAAAGGTGGATTCTAGGCCTGTTTTCAGGTCGGGCATCTCGCTATGAGCCACATAGTTTGAGAGACTGAAAGGTCATAAACTGTTCCTTTTTAAAAGAAACAACATTTGTTGTTCATGTTATTACAAATCTGTCGCTTTTGCCAAGAGGGACTTTTCGTGTGTTGCCAGCGATAACTAACCGAAACGGAGCCTCCGTTTCAAACAATAACCGGATACGTTTAGTGGTATACGTTTAGTCAGTTTTGCAGCCGATGAGTCATGGTCATTTATATTCAGTTTTTTTTCCTTTACCTTGCACGCTGTAAAGAGTTGCGTTCATGGCCTCTACTGACACTTCTTCGACTTCGTAGATGGGAAGACTACCACAAAAGTCCAGAATCTTCTGCGGCAATGCCAATCGGTCTGCAAAGCCCAATACACTTATGGCCGTTTCTTTTCTTGTTTTCTCATCTGACAAAGTTTGCTTTATTGCCTTTCAAATCAGAAAATAATTGAGGTTAAAAATGCAGTAGACTAGAGAAGTTAATCTGCTGACGGAACAGATTTATTTAGCATATATTTCTGTTAATGGACAACTTATCAAATATTTGTGTTTTGCACAATTACTGGAGCTTTAAAACTGTTGATCAATAGCTATTTAAGTCATGGAATTTTTTATAAGCATTTCTTCTCGACCTATAGTAAACTTTATGCAGGGGAGGGGGAGGGGTCTCTAAAACTTTTTCACTAAGGTATTTTAAAAATACATTAAAAGACGCTCTTTACCATTTGTTTAACGGTACATGAAAATGACAAGCCAAGCAGATTTCATGTCTGTAGGTATGCATGTGTAAAGGGTGTACTATTTTCTATCAAAAATGGCATAAAAGTTTAGGGGGTCGGAACTGGGAGCGGATCCTTCAAGTTTAAAAGTTTCTTGAGTACCCCACGGACGCATTCAGTGAAACCTGTATTAAGCCGATACCCTTACTAAAAAGCAGACACTTAAAGAGGAAGTTCTAAGGGACGGTCTCTTACATTAAAAAAGACAAAATATCTTGAACTTCCTGGTTTTTTTTTTCATTAAATACAGTTGACTCCCGATAACTTGGACCCTCGCTAACTCGAACCAAAGTCGATTCGCCTTATACATTTACTGTAATTTTACCTTCGGTAACTCGATCCTCGCTAACTCGAACATCCCGCTCACTCGAGGTAATTTTTCTTTCTTTTAAGAGTTTCTGTATAATTTTACCCTCGCTAACTCGCCTGACAAGTCGGAAAAAAACAGTGTACTGAAGTCCCAAACATTGAACTTATTTATAAAAAACAGTGTTAATTCTTTGTGTTTACTTTTATGTCACTCCAGTTCAATTCATTGTCCATCCCCATATATATATCAAGCTTTGTTGCTTTATTTTCTTTTAAAAAAGTAAATCTATTTCCCCCCACGCTGCCTTGAAGTGAAGTTTGCATTCTTTCTCCATGTATCCATTTGCTTCTTTCCTTATTTCCGGTCATTTGCTTCGAATTACCGATCTCGAACTTTTTTCAATTTCCCTAGAAGGTCGGTACTCCCGGCGGCTGAAGCGGGGGAGCTGGGGGGGGGGGGGCTTCAGCCCCTCCCCCCCCTCACTTTTATAGAATAATAAATAACTTCTTATATTTTACCACGGTCAACTCCTAAGGACCAAAAACACTATTTTGGAGAGTTCAAGTAAACGTCCACTCGTCTGTTTAAAAGAAGAAACAACGTACGTAGCCGGTTGGATTGGGACGTTTCATTTTGATATCTGCACTACCTCACCCCCTCATCCCTCTGTGGAAGGCTATCCTATGTAGTTTTTGTTGTCGGCACCATTGAAGATTGCATCCTAGGGGTCCAAGATGTTGTCGGCGCCTTAATTAAAAGATAAAGGCCGCGTATTATAGCTTATAATTGGTGGTGCTGGTGGGGAAGGGGAGGGGGTGTTTGGGCAAAAATGGGCAGTCCAATTTTTTTTTGAGCCACTCGCCCAACCGCCCCCCCCCCCCCCCCCACCACCACCACCACTTTTTCTTTCGCTCCGCCGCCACTGCAGTAGACCGTATTGACAAAACTCTTGTATTATTTATTTAGGCTTTATTGACTCATCAGTTCAATAGTCAGATTGGTGCAATGTTTTATAACGGGGCTCAACACTATAGTGTCCCCCCTTTTTTCTTTGATTATAGAGTGTGTGGTTAAATATATTGTAGTCATTACGTACGAAAAAACAAAACATACCAGTTCCATGTCAAGCTTCAGTTTCTGCGGGGTGGGTAAAGTTGGGTCCAACTTAGACACATAACATTCTTTAGATAATGGAAGACGACGAACTGTCAAACCCTGAAAGAATAAAAACAAAGAAATGGTTAACGGGATTGATGTATATCGACAAATCGACTTGATTAATTTTCTTATAAAACCTGAAGCTCCATTATAGATTAGACTTTTAACCAAATTTTAAAAAAAGAAAGAAAACGGAAAGAAGAGCCATTTTTTGATTAGGCTCGAGTTCGATCGAACGAGCCGACGACGTTATAGTTTCCGAACTACATACATACATACATACATAAACTTTATTTACCAAATCTTTTGAAGACACTGAACTGATTATTTATTTTTTTTGCATACAGAGGATATGTGATCCTTGAAATTAAGTTCATTGTCTAGAGATATTCCAAAAAGATCCAGGCATCTTGTGGTTAAAAAGGAGAAAGGGTAATCGGTTTTGCCGAGAACCATCCCTTGATGTTTAGCAGGGTTTGCTTTCATCCCATTGTCTTCGAACCATTTATTTGCTATTTGTACATCATGATTGATCCGCCGTTCCAAGGCTACTGGGTCTACATCAGATGAGTGCAGTTGGCAGTCATCGGCATAAGTGTTTAATTTTACAGACTTAATGTGAAAGATGAGGTCGTTGAGGAACACGTTGAAAAACATGGGCCCCAGGACGCTGCCTTGAGGCACGCCCCGCTTCACACTCATCCAATCCGAATAAGTATCACCAATTTTCACTCGCTGCCTTCTATCCGTCAAGTAGTCACCGATAAGGGCGCAGCTGGATTCGTGCAAGCCATACGCTTTCAGTTTTGCTAATAGCAAAGCATGAGGTATGGTGTCGAAAGCCTTTGACAAATCCATTGATATAACCGCCACGATCTCTTTATTGTCTAGACTGCGCCTCCAGTCCTCGGTCAGCCTAAGTAAAGATGTCTCACAGCTATGGTGCCTCCTGTAGGCAGATATGTATTCAGACAATATGTTCTGGTAAAAGTCGCCCATTTGAGCTGAAAGTAGCCTCTCAAAAACGTTATTGAGCGCAGGTAATACGGTCACTGGTCGATAATTGCTTTTGTTTAGTTCATCGTCCTTTTTAAATAAAGGAGTAACTTGACCTAATTTCAAGCGCGACGGATACTGTCCTGTCCTAATCGAGTGATTCATTATTGCAGCTATAGGACCAGCAATCGCGTTGGCAGACTCTTTTACCAGTCGCGGTGGTATTCCGTCATAACCACAGGATTTACGGGAGTTGATTTTGAGTAACAAAGCTTCAACTTGGGTTTTATTAGTATATTGAAAAGCAAAATTGTTTCTCGCAGCGATCTGCTCATTGTTATTAAAAATCGCCTGAATGCTAGGATGTGCATCAAACCCTTTTCCATAAATCTGTTCAGTAATCTCTGGCACGCCGTCCGCGATGTTCACGAAATAACTATTGGCATAACTGGCGACATTAAAAACTCGCTAGAACCTTTAATCCCGTGTCTTTCACACTGACAACCGTCTTTCAATGCCCTGACATCTTCACTTCTACGGAACTTTGGGTCAATAAGTTCAAGCTGAAGTTTTGCTTCAAACTAAAAGGGTATCTGATACACATGAAACCAATTTTGAAAAAGTCGTAGTCCTAATCTCGTCAGGAGTAACCAGCGACGGTTTCCTCCTAAATATTTTGAAAACACTTTGTAGGCTATCCGGAGTACTAGTTGCGCTTTACAGTTTGTACCTGTTCGGTCACCCTAGGGCCGACTTCAGTCGTTTTTAGCCTTTTTGTGCAAAACTTTAGATGTAATTTAAAGTTTATCGAAGGTTAGAATTTATTAATTTTTCTCCCACTATGATCAAGTTTTCGAATCCCAAAATTGTAGATTTTCTTTTTCTTAAAAATTTAGCTTAACCTGGGGAGTGAAGAAAATGTGAAAATTAATTACCCCTTTAGAAAATCGTGGGGCATTTACATTATAGGCCGTAGAAAATCGAACATAATATAAAAGGACGGTCATCTGGACATTTTTAGCGGTCCTCAAGCTACAATATATACAAAAATTCTAGGCAATATTTGCTTCTTTGAATTTTACGGAAAATATAGTCTATTGTTAAGTCTTTTTGTATGCCAGAATATTAACAAGTTCATAAGACTCATTAACACACATTACTTACCGAGATGAAGTCATTCATCACATCCATTGGTGCTTTGTTGTTATGTGCAGGTACACGTATAACTTCTGTTTTGCCTTCAGCATCGACGTCTATTTCTTCCCTAACAGTTGTACCCTCCTCAGTGAAGCGAAGCGCAAACTCTTCAATCTGTTCACAAATTCAACACCAAATACAGACGATTGTCAGCATGGGCAAGAGGCAGTGAGCTCTACCCCAGAGTATAGTTTAAAAAGGAAAAGTAAAATACTGATTGAAATAAAAAATACATATGGAGAACAAGTTGCATAATGGTAAAAAAGGAGATCTATTTAATGTCGACGCATTTAATTTGAGAGTAGATCATGCATGATATCGATGTGAAAATACTTACCGTGCAGTTCACTACCACATTAAAGTAGAAAAGTAGAAGTACACTGAAGAGGATTCTCGGCAGACAAGAAGT